ATAACTCAGATGTCCATCTAAAGATAAGAGGAGCAAATAAAATGTGGTATTGAAACTAAGGTGTGTAGTAGACCTCAGGTCCAAACTCCAGAAAGTTTTGTGGGAGGGAGGTATGCATAATGATTGAAAAGTCCTGGTCAAAATGTGGCCTAATTGATCAATATTTCAACCCATGTTTGGGAGGGGTTTACTGTCAGCACTGGTCAGAATAAATAGGTCCTTGTGCCTACTGGCTTTGTCCTGTATTGTTCCTGGAGTCCCTTTGTCACAAAGATCAGCCATCACCGTCATCCTTTTCAGATTCCAAAGTGATTGCAGAATGACTGCAGAGAGAATGGTGTAGAGTCATATACCAAATGGAAACAGACGTGCTTTCAAGCACCTCTTATAGTAGGTCCTTACAACAGAATATTGTTTAGTCTTAGTAACATCACCTACAATCTTGATAGGGTACAGCCCCAAGGACAAGGGTGTTTATTCCTATTTTATCTGTGTCTGGACTTTATGAAGACTTACAGGAGCATTCTAAGTACAGGAAGGATGCCCACCCCCAGTCTCCTGCCTGGTCTGGTTGTGGTGGGACCAACAGAATCATGTCTGGCTTGCCTGGCGCCATCTTCATGCAAGGCTAATGCAGGAAGTTGCTGCTTAAAGATAAGGGAAACCACAGTCAACACCTTCCCTCATTAATCTGATCCAGCCTCAGAACTGTGTCAGCCTACAGACAGTTAAGAGGCTCTGCAGCCAGGTTGTCTGAGAAACTAAGATTCTGAGAACTCAGGTATTATGACAGCCACAGACCCTGGCTGGCTGGGTTTCAGGAGCATGCAGCTAAAGCTCCCTCTGGGGAGATGACAGGGGAACAACAAAATACCCAACTCTGCTGCAGGAAGCCAGGGGACAAGGATAACATTTTAAAAATTAAAAAAAAAAGTTAAATGAGATAAACATTTGTAGAACTGGGTGTGATAAAAATCGACTTTCCCAGAGCGTAGACACAGTGTTGCCCTGGGGATACCTTCCTAGGTCCCTTCTCAGCCTCCTTTCCCCACTTTGAAAAACTCTATTTACTTTAACATTGAATCTCAGTCAGACGTTATGCTTCAAGTAATATCAGGGTTAAAGAAAGCTAAGAAAAGGTTGAAGTGCCTTTGGGTTCAATTAAGTCATGGTTCACTATGAAATTTGGACACAATGACTGACTTGGTAAAGGCAAAGGAAGAGGGTCCCTGCACATGGCTAGATAAGATGCTGTACAATGACTCCACTCATATGTCAAAACACAGAACTGTTCCTAGGCACAGAGTGCATTTTCAGGGTTACACCAACAGTGACATTAGGGAGACCAAACTGAGCTTAAGCTCCTGGAAAAGAGTCAGAATTTCATTGCTGGTTATCCACTGATGCCTGCACCAGATGATCTGATGATGAGTGCTTGTATGTCACCACACCCAAGCACAAGGTACCCTTCCTTTGTATGACCTGGGTTGCTAGCCACCAAATCATGTCAGAATTTCATTGATAATATTGACTTGGTCCAACTAGAAGCATAGCACAGCCCCCATATGAACCTCGACAAGTCATCTCAAGTTGCTCTTCTCTCTCCTTCCCAGTGATCAAGATGGAAGATAGACAAACATGCTGACACATACCTGTAATCCCAGCTACTCAGGAGGCAGAGGTAGGAAAGATGGCATTCTTAGACTGGCCTAGGCAAAAGCTCAAGACATTATATGAAAAACTGAAGCAAAAATGGGGTGCAGCATAACTGCACCGAAAGAGTACTAGAGACCTTGAGTTCAAACATCAGAACTACCACCACCACTAAAAAATAGGACAGAAGAAATATTTTCACTTTTGAATGGTTCTAAGAATTTTTTGAATGTCACTCTGATTTCTTTAATAATTCACTGATCAGTTGAAGAGTGATATGTTGAGCCTTCATATATCAGGATATTTTCTGAATTGTCTTATGTTGTTGATTTGTAGTTTTAGTCTATTGTGCTTTCATAAAATACAGAAAATTACTTCAACTTTGTAGTACTTATTAATACTTGTTTTATGTCCTATGATTTATTTTGAGGAAAGTTCTATGCACTGCAAAAGGAGTGTATATTCCGTGTGTTTTAGATGAAATACTCTGTAGATGTCTATTAGTTCCATTTGATCTAGTTTAAGTTTCTTGGTTGTTTTTTAGTCCAGATGATCTACCTATTAGGAAGAGTGTGATATTGCAGTCACCTAGTACTATTGTGCTGTGTTCTATCTGTGTTTTTTTTGTATCTAGTGGTATTAGCTTTATGAAAATAAGTTCACTGAAATTTAATGCATATATGTTTAGAAGTATTATCTCCTCCTGCTGGACTGTTCAATTTGTCAATATAAAATGGCCTTGTCTGTCTCTTCTGGCTAAATTTTGCTTGAAATCTGCTTTGTCAGATATGTTGTAGCTACTCCTGCAATCTTTGAGGCTCCATTTGCTCAGTGGTAGAGCGCATGCCTTGCATGCCAGAGGCCCTGGGTTCGATTCCTCATCACCACATAAGCAAAAAGAAAAAAGCCAGAAGTGGCGCTGTGGCTCAAGTG